GAAAGAGGGGTGAGTAGGGATGACCATAGACCCTGCCCCGAGATTCCAGCCACTCCTACCCACACTTCCTTCTTAGCTGTGTGAATTCTCTCCCAGCTGTATGTGGTCCCAGCAGACATTAGGATACAGAGTAGACGGTTAATGAAGGTAGGGCCTCCATCTATGTTGCTACAGGGAAGCAATCATATATGCTGTGGTGAGACATTTCAGTGACACAGCTGCTTGGTGACACAGTCACCCACACTCCTGGAAATAACACCAATAATCTCGTTGGTTCATAAGGCTGAAACTGTTAGCCTATGGATGCATTATCTGAGGTGAGTAGATGTTTGATCATAACTCCCTGGGAACAGTTCACACAACAGTGGACTGGTGCCAGCCTCCCTGTGAACAGGCATGCAAGCACTCTTGTCAGAACATGAGCAGGCTCCTCAACCTGTGCAGCTGCCAGACGGAGAATGTATCATGATCCAGTGAGGGCTACCCAAGAAGCACGGGGTCAGTGTGGGGAGACGAATCGATGTCATTTGGGCTGGGCTGGGCTGGAGTGGGGCTTGGTAGAGTGCCCACCTGGCATGAGCAAAGGCCTTGATTGTCAGCACTGTAAAAAAAAAAAAAAAAAAAAAAAAAAAAACTCAGTGCAGGGGCTGGAGAGATGGTTTGGCAGTTGAGAGCATGCGCTACTGGTCTTGTAGAGGGTCAGAGTTTGGTTCCCAGCACTGATCACAACTGCTTATCACACCAGCTCCAGGGGATCTGACTTCCTTTTGGGGCCTCTGTGAGCAGCTGCATTCTCATGTGTACATGTAATTAAAAGTAATACAAAGTTGTTTTTTTTTTAAATCAACATAGCTGGGTGGTGGTGGCACACACCTTTAATCCCAGCATTGGGGAAACAGAGGCAGGCAGATCTCTGAGTTTGAGGCCAGCCTGGTCTACACAGAGAAACCCTGTTTCAAAATACAAAAACAACAACAAAAAAATTAATGTAAATCACCCCATTAACAAAGGGAGAAATGCCATGTGATCATTTTAACAGAGGAAGGAAAGAACTGTTGGTAGCACCCAATATGCATGTATGTTTGAAACACTCTTGGAAAACTGTGAGTATGTGGAACTTACCAGCATGGTGGGAATATTCAAATAAGCAATATGTCTACAGCTGGATCAGTTCTTTAATATTTATTTTTATTGTCTCTATATATGAGAGTTTGCTTGCTAGTGTGTATAGACATTACATGTATACACATGCATGCAGTACTCACATTTGCCAGAAGCAGACTCCCTGAAACTGGAGTTAGAGGAAATTGTGAGCTTCCCTGTGGCTGTTAGGAGCCAAATCCTGGTTCTTTGCAAGAGCTGTAAGTGCTCTTAATGGCTGAGCCCCTGAATTGTGTTTAGTGGTGAAGGAAAAGTATTTTCCCTGTGAGACTGGGGATAAGACAGTGATGCCTACCTTTGTGGTTCCATCAGAAAGAAGGCCTCTGTGAGGAAGCAAGCATGAAAGGCAGAGATGGAGAGACCACAACTATTTGCTAACCTCAGACATTTTCACAAAGATCCTGGATGACATCAGTGAATGCAGTAGGTTGAAAGGATAGCTGTCAGGTCAGCAGACTAAATCAAGTCAGTGCTAACAACTGGGAAGCAATAATGAAGAGAGATCGTGTTTACACAGCATGCAGATACAGAAACCACAAATACCTGAAGGAGAGTCTGTTAGATGCATGCAGAGACAGCTGTATGGAAAGCCACAAGGGACAGCCTGAAGGAGCACAGGGGCCCCAAGGAGGCAGAGGGCTAGATCTCATTATTAAATCAGAAAACACCACTGTTGGAATGTGAGTTTGGGGCTGGGGAGATGATTCTGTCAGCAGAGCATTTGTTATACAGCGTAAGGACCTGAGTTCAGATTCCCCAGCACCCACAAAAGAAGCTGAGTATGATGATGCATGCCCCGAGCATGGGGCAAGTGGACACAGAAGGATCCCTGAGTCTCAGTCACCAACTACTTTAGCCAAATCAGTAAGCTCCAAGGTTAGGAATAAGACATAGAGTAATATAAAAAGAAATTCCTTGGGACGGGAGCCATTGTGGCAGGTCCACACCCTCAGCACCACACCCAGGGCCCAGAATGAAGTTGCTAGAATCAGGGAGCCCTGGGAATCTGGCTCTATAGTGAGCAAGCCTGAGTCTGAGTCTGATATCAGATATCAGGTTGAGTTATCTCAGAAGCTTCTAGAATTCATGCCCAGCACAGTCAGCTTGCATCCGCTGTATCATTTATTCATTTGACCTTATTCTCCACTGAGCACCAACCAACCCATCCATTCATTGGATGAATGCTTCTCGGTTCCTCCTCCCGTACAGGGATAGCTGACTGCTGCTTGCTGGCTCAGAGCCCTCAGGAGCACACCTGCTAGTGGGAGATGCAGAACCAAGCAGGCAAACAACACATTAGCTGTAGGGGAAGGAGCCCCACATTAGGCTTGCTGTGGCCATGTGCATGTGTGGCACCCAGACAGGTAAGAAGAGCTGAGAAGAGACTCCTGCTGCCAGGAGCCACAGCATCACAGAGCAAACAGATAGCACCCTAGGCAGGGACAGAGGCAAGCAAGGTGGAGGTGAGAGGTCAGGTGGGCAGGGTGCCCGGGGCCTTGGAGGTTGTTAGGGCAGGCTATCTGCTGCTAAAGCCTGGCTCAACTGTCCTGGCAAACTTGGACCTTCTCTGCAGACCTAGTTCTGAGCTGAGAGGTGAGCCCTATCCAGCTACAGAGGTGCCAGAGGTGCAGGAGCCTTAACAACTCTGTAATGGAGTCAGGTCTGTCCTGTCTCAACTTAAGCCAGCCCAAGGGAAGCCTTGATACCACTAGGTTTAGGATAGGCATGGCTGCTGCCTCTAGGTTTCACTGGCATCCTCATACTCAGTAATGGCCTGGGGAGCAGAGGCCCTGTGCCCCCCCATCTGTCTAGACCAAGCCATTTATCATATGCCCCAAGGCTGACAGCTGCTGTGATCTTCACCTGTCGCCTCTGGCACACAGATGGATGCCTCACAGGGCTCCACATCTGTGTCCTTGGGCAAGGAGGATGCAGCTGACCTTGGGTTTATTTGTCCTTATGGGAAGGGAGCACTCTGTTCCTTGGGGTCTGGTGTGAAATGCATGAAGAATAGGCAGCTCTTCCTCTCTCTGCCTCCCCAAGGCAGCCTCATCCACTGGGCCCTCCATCCACCCTTCCGGAAACCATGTTGGCCTTTAGTCTAAGGGTCTCATGTCTCCCAACTTCCCTATTGAAGCCACTCCAGTCCTGGGGTCTCTGTCTCAAGGAAGACTGGGAACACAGGATGGCTACACCTGCAGAGGTGTTTCCTCTTGGTTGGGGCTACAAGCAGGGTTTTCTTTCCATTGTAAGAACATTCTCCAAAGTCCCCAGAATGAGTAGCAGATTGCCTTTCAAATGGGGAAACACAACTTTATTTAGCAGTTATCATGCCACTGTACTTAGCATGGAAAGAACATCTTTACTTTGAATTAAAGTATCAAAATAAACAGCTCAGTGGGCGAAGTGTGTGCTGTGTTAGCCTAAGGACCTGAACCCTGTCCCCAGAGCCCAGGTGGGACGAGGCATGCTTGGAATCTCGGTGCTGAGGGAATGAGACAAGTGGATCCTAGGCGCTTGCTGGCCAGCTAACCTAGCTTAATCAGCAAGCCCCAAAGCCCAGTGAGAGACTATCTCAAAAAACACAAATGGTTTCTAAGCACAACAGCCTGAGGTTGACCTCTGGCCTCCATGCACATGTGTGTGTAACTACACTCACACCCACATGGGCATCTATACATATGCCCCTCCCCAAACACTCACAAAAGGGAGGAGTTTTCTGAGGGTGTCTATCAGAAAGGTACATGGGTGGAATGTTGTTTTTCATACCAGATGTTTCCATCTGGCTGGAAAGTGTGGTGGTGACTTATTTTCCTGGTGTTCTTAGCAAGGTTTGAATGCTGTTCTTTACATTTCTGTTTTATGTGTCTGGGTATTATGTCTGTGCACTATGTGTATGCAGTGCCTACAGAGGCCAGAACCCCTGGGACAGATGGTTGAGCTACCATGTGGGTCTTGGGAACCAGACCCCGGTCTTTTGGAGGAGCAGCCAGTGCTCTTAACTGCTGAGCCATCTCTCCAGGTTCAGGACTTGAATGCTTTAAGAGTGACAATGAGAGTAGTTTCTTTTTTTTAATTTTTAAAGAACCATTATAAAACATATAAAAACAATGTGCACTTTGGAAGCTTAGCTCTCTTTTTCTTTTCTCCAACTGTGGGTGAAGCTGGCTGGCAGGACAGGGTGGCATCTGCAAAAACAGCTTGTCTGAGCACAATCTTGAAAGAGTGGAGGGATGGGGATGGAATCTGGATAGGAGCCAGGGGTGCCCTGCTGTCACTGTGAAGGTCTTTTGGGGCACCTGAGAGGCAGAAGTAGCCTGGACATAGCTATTTGGGGTGGCTCTGGGGCGAGGACAGACTGGGTCTGTTTAGGGGTAAAACAGTGCCACCGTGTGGCTTCCATGTGTAAAGCCAGGCTGGAGAATTGGGGAGGCGACCTAGAGTAGTCACCTGGACTGTGAAGGTTTGTGCGGAATGTTGGGGCAAGGGAGGGAGAAATAGCAATTCAGATGAGACCTTGTCGTGGATGCATTCAACAAAAGGCCTTTGTGGACAGAGCTGAAGGGCCAGTGGCTCCAAGAGCAGCGAATGCTCCCCAGGAGCTGGAGCTGAGCCTCCAGTCACTTGACGGGAGGAGGCAAAGCTCCTATTGCCTGGACCATGAGGGCTGAGGGGCAGTTTTCTCATCTGGGATGCCATAGGGGCAGAAGGATGCAGGGCACATGCATTCACTGTAGCTCTGGGGTCCTCCTTCCTGCCCCTGCCCCTCTGTCTGTCCCTGTCCTCCTTGCCATGTTCCATGCATGTTCAACATGCAGCCTGGCCTCTCCCTTGTCCCCTGCTTATGAGAGGGAGCCCTGAAGTTCCTAGAACCAGAGCTGGGACATGGCAATGGTTTGAGCAAGACTGGGATCTCCTGGCAGCTATGAGGGCAGGACAGCTGGGTATAGCATGGGCCACTCTATACTTGGCTCATAGGCAGGGATAGCCCCCCAAGTCTTGACTGGGGCTCCTCCCCTAGAGCTCTGTTTAGGACTACCTGCAGTGGTTCCTTCTTCCTGAGCTGCCTGCCTTTCATGTAGTACAAAACGGGCTTTGCGCTGCTGTCGATGCAGGCTAGGAGGATGGCCAATGGCAAGAAGAAAGGGAACAGGAATGTTATGACTGGCCGCAGGCACCAGTAGACAACCATGGGCAGGCGACAGAAGAACAGCAGGATCCCGGAGCACTGGGCCACTTTGCAGAACTTGGGGGGTGGCTGCAAAGAGCAGCACTTCCCACAGATTAAGAGAATCTTGCTCCCCACGCAGGCCATGCTCGCCAGCATCACCAGCCAGACGACACTGACCCAGTGGTATTTGAAGCAGACCAGCAGACTCATCCTGTTGTACAGCAGTCCACAGGCATTGGCCGGCAGGAGCACGGCCGGCATGGTCAATGCCCAAATCAGGAGGCAGAGCACAACTGAGGTGTACTTGGGGCGGCAGGAGGGGCTACAATAGGAGGGGAGCATGTAGGTGAGGCAGCAGTCCACAGTGAAGGTAGCCAGCAGCCAGAGCCCCACAGCAAACCACAGGAAGATGAGCGGGAAGTGAAGTGTGTCCTCATAGCCCACTGCGATCGTGGCGATAGAGAATCCCACCTGGCAGGAGAGGAAGAGGAAATCTGCAGCAGCCAGGTGTAGCAGGTAGACGTTGAAGGGGCCCTTCTTGATGTGCAGACCGAGGTGCCAGAGCACCAGGGCGTTGCCCCCCAGGCCAGCCAGGCTGACAGCGAGGCTCAGGTAGAAGAGCGCTTTGTTGAACGGGCCCCAGATGTTGAATATGGAGAGCATCCTGGCTGGCTTCCGTGGGTGCTCTGGGAGGACCCTGCAAAGGGTGACAATGCTCACTATCCAGATGCTGTACTCCTTGAGTGTGGAAGATAAGACATCATGAGTCTCCCACTTCAGGAGTTAGAGTTGTCCTGGCAGCCTCCCTAGCTGTGTGTGATATCCCCACCCCCCCAGGCCCCAACCTCTGCTGCGCTCTGAGGCAGCATTCTCTGCCCTCATCCTGGCTGGCCAACCCTTCCTGAGTGAGGCCCCCCTTGCAGAGGCCTACCACGTTGAGGCAAAGGGGCCATGAGCAGAGGGATTCCCTTTTATTTTCCATCATGGTACTAGTGTGAAGTCTCTTCCTCCAAGGCCCTAATCACACCCACCCTAGGATCTCTGATGGTCCCTGGTGTGATTCCAGGACACACTAGTCTGTGCTGGGTGAAGTTTTAGGGGACTTCTCCATCCATTCTATCTGAAGCAGGACACTAAACCCCCAGGGTCCTGAAGGACTGTGGCTACTCGGAAGTGTTATATCAGGACCCTGAGTTTTCTTGGGAGTGATTAAGCAACAGGAGAGTTCCTGGGGCTCAGTGGAGGGGCATCTCAGAGCAGTACCTCTCTTTCTACAGGGCCCCTAGTGGACCTTGTCCTAACTTGTTCCAGCTATGAGGACCCAGACCAGGTTCTGGAGCCAGGGACTGCCAGGGAGGAACAGCTATTGGAAATGAGAGAGAGAGAGAGACAGAGAGAGAGAGAGAGAGAGAGAGAGAGAGAGAGAGAGAGAGAGAGAGAGGAAGACACAGACAAGGAGACTGGGACAGAGAGACAGAGAGGGGACAAAGTCAGAGATGGAGAGAGAGGCGGGCGAGGGGGGGGACAGGAGACAGTGACAAAGAGTACTTTGTGTTTCATCCTCATTCCTGTGCCCTCTGCCCGAGAGACTGACTATCTCTCCACTCAACAGAGGCCCACCCCCCTTAAGGCCCTGCTTCCTCTCATGGTCCCTAACCTTCTGTGGTGTTCTGATAAGTGTCACCTCCCTGCTTGTCACCAAGGATGCTACCTGGCATGTCCAGGGGATGGTGGTTCAACCTACAAGCCCAGCTGTCAGAGTCAGATTGCATGTCCTCAGGACCTTAAAATTAGTTGTCTGGACTCTCAAGCATCGTGGTGGTGACAGAGACAGGACCCTTTTCCGCTGTGGCCTTAGTGCCCCATGGTACATCAAGGGTGTGGAATCCAGACTCCTACTCCGGTGTGGAATCCAGACTCCTATTCCTGTGTGGATTCTAGCTGGTAGAGGCCAGGCTAGTTCTGAAAGAGGATGTGCAAGATGGGTTCAGCATCTTCCTCATCCTCATTCTCCAATGGACTCAGAGCTGTGAATTCCAAGCCTGCAACCCCAGCCTCCAAGTTTCCCTTAACTGCCTTCCCTTTCAGAGGGAAGGTACCTGCCAGAGGACATTCTCAGAGCCACCAGCACCCCTCTGAGAGCCAGGCAGGGAGCAGGGTGTCATAGAGGGCCAGAGAAAGGATGTTCCTTGCTTGGGGGAGCAGGCAGAGGGGCATACTAACCTTCTCACCTGCTGACCGACCACCTGCTGACAGTGGCTGTCCCCAGCCTGCTCCTTGTCTTGAGCTCCTCTTGGCTCCTAAATCCCCTCTTGTCCTCTGGGGCTGGCTCCTGCCAGTTCCCTAGAAGTGGGAGGGTGTGTCACCTTTTCATAGGAACCAAAGGAATGAGCTCAAACAAAACTGTCAGTGGGGGGTGGCTCCTCCTCCTCATTGGGAGAAGAAACCAGACAGCCTTCACAACACCCATTCTGGAATAATCCCTGGCCCCAAGTGCTCAGGACCAAAGAAAGAAACGCCATTGTAGAGATGACCCAGTCAGTAAAGGGTTTGCTGTGTAAGTTTGAGGACCTGAGTTTGGATTCCCAGATCCTGGGATAAAAGCTGGGCATGGTGGTGCTTGCTTGTAACCCCACTACTAGGAGGTGAAGGACAGGGGGATCCCTGGGACTTGCTATCCAGCCAGCCATGCCAATCAGTGTGTTTGGTTCAAGATCTTACCTTTAAAAAGTAAGGTATTGGGCCAGTGAGACGTCTCAGTGGGTAAAGGCACTTGCCACCAACACTAACCTAAATTCAATTCCAGGGATCCATATGGAAGGAGAAAATTTATTTCTAAAAGTTTTCCTCTGATCTGAACACACATGGTGGCACATGTGTGTGCACACACACAAGTAAACTTAAAATGTATTTAAGCCAGGTGTGGTGGCCCACTTCTTTAATCCCAGCACTTGGGAGGCAGAGGCAGGCTCTTGTGAGTCTGCATAGAGAGTCAGTTCCAGGCCAGCCAGGGCAGCATAGTGAAACATGATTTGAAAACAACAACAAAATAAAATCTTAAATGCTATTTTTTTTTAAAGTGGAAAGTAATTGAAAGACACCCTGTGTTGACTTGTAGACGCCACAGGCACCTGCACACAATGTACATGTGCCAGCACAGATGCACACATAAACACACAGTAGGGGGGAGAAGAGGGAGAGGGGCAGACAGAGCTAGGACTGCACAGTGAGATATATTGGTGAATTTACTGGCAGAGAAAAGTCCTGGGGAGCTGGGCAGCCAATCACTGAGTGGGTCCCTGCATTCGGGATAGAAGACAGTGTTGTTAGGACACAGCATGTTCTCTGGCCAGAATGTCTCTGGTTTATCTTCAGATTCCATCAAGAGCCAGGCACATTCCTCCAGGTCATGCAGAGCACATGTGCTTTCACGGCTCTGTTACTAACAAAATGTGCAGGAAAACCAAGTGTGACGATTCAGACAATCATGACAGCCGTAGCTCAGAATGGCTGCCATCATGTCAAGCCACTTCCATACTCTCCCCTGTGTGGGATGGGTCCTGTGCAGCCTCACAGCTCTCCAACTTTTTGTTTTCCTGGTGGAGTTTTAGTTGTTTTTCTTCTTCATGGTGTTACCCTCCAGGATTAACATAATTCACATGGCATGCTGGTGCTGTGAGGGGGTCTGCCTGGCTTTTTAAAGGAGTCCACAGCAGCAGGAGGGCCTGTGCATGAATGAAACAGAGGCCTTAGCATCTCTCCTATGTAAGTGTGGGATTGGATAGGGTATTGATCTGGGTTTTCACATGTGACATGGGATGGCATCTGGATGTGGAATTGATATTCTATGTTGATGAGTTATGTATGGCCTGTAGACTGTCACTAACAGCTGCTGCTTGAATGTGACCAAAAGTGTAATGTGTGATTGATTTAACACCTTGAGCCCCAAGCTAGACAGATGGCTTTAAAAAAAAAAAAAAAAAAAAAAAAAAAAAAAAAAAGCAGTCATTGTTCTTCTGTAGGACCTGAGCCCAATTCCTAGCACTGGAGTTCAGTGATTGTACCAATTAAAGGGTGAGCAGAATCATCGTGGCTTGTAGAATGCAGACAATCTTCCCTTGCATCCATGAACCCCAATGTGTCCTATTCCAAGTATTATGAAGTCACCAGGCCACCCGTTAATTCTCTGAGACCATTGGATCCTGTTTGGCATGAGTGGCAAACTGCCAAGTGTCCGAGACCACACATTTGGTCCTCAAGAGCCACTAGACCTAAAGAAGCTAAGGTCAGTGTCCTCATGTGATTAAACCAGATCCCCTAATCCCCAGCCCTGTCACAGTGCTGCCTGCTGACCAGGGTACCCATTCCCAGGGTCATCCACAAGTCATCTGCCCCAAATCTATTTTTCCTTCATTTCTCCAAACTCAATTTTAAATTACATTTATTTACTTATATGTGTGCATGTATTGAGGTCAGTTCACTCCTTCCGCCATATGGGTTCTGGGTTGTCAGGCTTGGTGGCAAGTGCCTATACCCACTGAACCATATTATCAGACCCTGTAGAATAGCAGTCACTGTCCTCCCATACTTTGAACCTACTGCTGCCATCTTCATGAGCTCAGCTGTGCCCATCCTGAATGGACCTGATGAGTTTAGAGGTTCGAGCATAGAAGGAGGAGCTGGGAAGGGTCTTGAGAACCTTGAGTATCTGACACCCCCTCCCCCCTCCACTAGCCATTTGTATGCAGTTCTGCCCAAGGTGAGTATATAATCGGGGATGGCTGGGGGAGTGTTTCTCTCTACACAGCTATTATCCATGCTGGGTGCAGACTTTCCAGCATGTGTGCTTTAGGGTCACCTATGCAGTAATAAGCCAAACAAACTTGTTTGTTCCCCCATTAAATTTGAGAGCCATTGGGATATTAGAAGGATGGGTGTAGATGTTTCTTAGTTCCTTTCACAAACAGAAACTTCTTGAGACTGCCCCAAATCTCTCCAACTTTTTCATTATCCCAAGTCAGCCCTGTCGGGGTTCTCATTGTTATTGTTGTTGTTTTGTTTGTTTATTTTGGTTCAATATTATTCGTGTGGCTTGTTGCAGTGACTGGTGATCTGTGGCTGGCCTTGTCATTGGCGTTGAGTAATACTGTGGGAAATGTAAACAGAGTGTTCTGTGTGTTTCTATCAAAGGGTCACAGGAGACAACGTTTCCTTTAAACAGTAGTAAAGAAACCACTCGTCAAATATCTAGATTCTTCCAGGGTGAGCGAGCACTTCCTGAACTCAAGGTTGTGCTCTGCTCAGAACTTCTTTCTGCTTCCCCACCTGGTTGCTCCAGTCAGTCCTCAATCAAGTAAGAATGGCAGGCTGACCACTAACAGTGGGTGTGCTTGCCCGCTCAAGCACGAGTAGAACCTTTGTCTTGCTGAAGTGCTTTGGCTGCAGGGGTCATTTCTTTGGGTCCCCAGAACTAATTCTAATAATACGGATGTTAGATTTCGGAGACCAGTTTGACCTCAGCAGACAGGAGTTTATTTCAAACATCAAGGGGCAGACATAACGGGAAAGGGGTGTCTGCCAAGGGGGAAGGGGTACTTGGGGTTCAGAGGAATGCAATGGCCGGGGCTACGTGCGAGCCTGCAGTTCCTCCCTCCTGGAACTGTTTGTTCAGACAAGGTTGTTATATCTTTAGAA